AATCTGCAGGAAAGAACTGTCAGGCTGTTAAAATGTGTAGGCTTGAGACAGACTTTTTGTTTTAGAGAATGCAAAAATAAGAAAATAAGGTGGAAATGGACTGAAGCTCTAACTGGCTTTTATTTAAAATTTGTGACCCCATAAATTACTGTGCCTTCAAATGCTATGTGGTTTTGGAAATGCTTGGGATAAACTTAGCTTCCTCTGGCACAGAGACGGAGGAAAAGGCTTTGGGGTTATCACAGCTTATTTACTGTAAAATGACCATTTTTAAAGCAACAAGATTCAGGATGGGGGAGAGCAGCAACTGCTTTCCAACACTATTCTATTCACACCTACACAGTAATGACCCAACTCATTATTCACAGAAGGATACCACTTCCACCCTTTTTGTCTGTCTCCTCTGGCTCTCACCCGTTTTCTCCATGATTACAGGTCTTAATTTTCCTTTTCCTTTGCTGTGTTACATCTGTCTCATTGCAATTCCCGCGGCCCCCTAGGAATGTCACTGCTGCCTGCAGGCAGGACACAGGCCATTTGGCATTTCAGGCTGATAGCCGGAAGATAGATTTGGCTTCTCAAAGAACTCCAGCCTGAACAGCTTCAACTAAAGGAGATGGAGGTTAAAAAACCAAGGCACCCAACTGTGTGGTGAGACAAGGAGGCACAAAAGCATAGAATGTAATCAGTTCTAAGTAACGTTAAGTTTGATGGCTTTGTAGTGAAAATAACTGAGGTGCTTGAAGAGAAACCATTGCAGTTGACATAGTTCTAGGTCCTTATCTTAGTACAGAAAACAGTAAGAAAAACAGGACCTGAGGACGGGGGAGTGTCTGGGACCAGCAGAGGTCCAGGATAGGTGCAGTTAAACTAACTGATAAGTAGAAAGACAGGATGATTGCTATGTCCATAATGTTAATGAAGCTGGTGCTACAAAGACTGCCAGAATTTATGAGGATTGTTGGAAGAAATAAACGACCCTCAGAGACCACCGCCACATTTGTGTACGCATGTGGGAAACTTTCTGGAAAATGATGTAATTCATACGTAGCCTCATGAATATGTATGTATGCCCAGAGACTATACAAGGACGGCTTGTGTAGCAATACATTGATACACATTAGGATGAGCTATCCCCTGTGTCTCCCGGCACTGCAATAAAGAATACCTGCTTGTCAGCTTGAAAACTTTGTTGGCGAGTTTGTTCCTGGAGTTTTCTCCAAATCAATTTGGCACCCCAGATGGGACTACTCTGCTCGGCTGCAGGACCCGCTCAGGACAGGGCTCCCTAGGGCCCTCGGGAACTTTTCCGGGAGGGACCCCTCGATTCATTTGGATCACTGCGGGAGCAGACAAGGACCATCTTAATAAAAGGTATTCTTTTCTTTTGTATAGTCTGTAAGGTGCAGGGGGCATCTTGCATAGAGACTAAATTGGTTTGGTAAGCGTATGCAAGGTTTGGAAGCCTTCCATAAATTGAGATAGGAAATCTCGTGGATAAAGATGTATACCTGGCTTCTAGCATCTGTTTGGTATATACCCACAAGAAGCAGGTGGCATCTTGTGGTTTGGGTCCTGCAAGACGCGGTGGGTGTCTTGTAGAAATGACTTTGGATTTTACTGGTATTTGACTTATCTTGGGGCTTGTTATAGTGATGATTTTGGTCTTGTGACTTTGGTATTGGTGATAGGATGTTATAACTGAGTTATTAACTGTTGTTCATTTGATAGAATTTTAGTCTCTGTCTCAAGTGTTGTAACTGTGTGGAGTGTGTTTGTGGGATCCCGTGTGTGTGTGTGAATGTGAGATTGATAATGGGAAATCAGCAGATTGGAGAGATCTTGAAAAAGAGTCCTTTAGGGTGCATTTTAACACATTGGAAAGAACTGGGAGGGTTTCCTGGAGGCTCAGTAAATAAGAAAACTTTGGTGAAATATTGTAACCAATGGTGGGCATTCTATACTCTGGAGGATCAGGAGAAATGGCCAAAAAATGGAACTTTGAACTATGATACATTCTTACAATTAATGTTGTTTTTGAGGTGGCAAGGAAAATGGGATGAAGTAATGTATGCAGATATGTTTTTCACTTTCAGAAACCACCCGGAGTGACAGACAGAATGCAAAATTTATAGCTCCACCAGATCCCTTAATTTTGGCTTTGGAAAAGGACAGGGAAAAACTGAAAGCTAAGCTGGAGAGATGTTGTTCAGATTGATACTGGGGAAAGATGTTTAAAGTTAAGGAAAACTAAGGGGGAAAGGAGGGGAGCTCGGGTAGCTCCTGTGTTTGAGCATGGGATGAGTGCTGGGGAGGCAGAGGTGGAGGGATGTCGGGCAGAGGTGGGGGAGTGGGTTCTTCTCCTATGGGACAGGATCTGTGTACGTGTGCTGTGGGGAGTTTGGACATTGGAAGTGAGACTGCCCTGGGTGGGGAGGAGTGCCATGCGGTGGCTCTGGTAACTGAATTGGAACTAGACTGACAGGGACCTGGGGAATCTACCCTAGCAGATCCACTGGTTAAATTAAAACTAGGGACTAGAGGGAATAAAGTGGAATTTTAGTTGATACAGGAGCAATGGAATTTTTAGTGGATATAGGGGCAGCTTATTCAGTGTTAAATCAGAGGGAAAAGAATTTGTTACAGATGTGAGAGCTGCTGGCCACCAAGAAAAAGAAAAAGAAAAAGAAAAAAAGAGGCATTCTTTCTGAAACCCTTAAAGTACAAATTCGGAAAACAAATATGAATGCATAAATTTTTATGCACGCCAAATTCTTCAAAATCTTTATTAGGGTAAGAAGCAACATTTAAAGAAGGCAAAAGAGTTTTTAAGAGTTAAAACCAATCAATTAATTGCAGTTCTGGGTTTATCCTTAATTCAACAGAAAAGCAAACAGGAGGACCTCCCTGAAATAGAAGATATCCTTAATCAGGTATATCTGGGAGTATGGGCATCTGAAGTTCCAGGTAAGGCGAAAAATGCTTTGCCTGTTAAAGTAGACATAAAAAGGGGGTGCCTGCCCAACTAGTATAAAATAATATCCCTTAAAATTGGAGGATCAAAGGGAATTAAAAAAAATAAAAAGAAGAAATGATCATTGATAAATTTTAAAATATAGATTATTAATTGAATATGAACTGGAATATAATACTCTTATCTTGCCAGAAAAGAAATAAAGTTGCAGATTGGTTCAAGATCTCAGAGCAATCAACAAATTTGCAGAGGATATTCATCCAGTAGTAGCTAATCCGTATGCCTTGTTGACTAAATTGAATAATAATCAGAAATGGTTTGCTGTCTTGGATTTAAAGGACTCTTTCTTTTGCTTACCATTGGCCAAAATAACCCAGAACTTATTTGCTTTTGAATGGGAAAATCCTGACACAGGAAGGAAAACCCAACTAACTTGGACGGTATTACCTCAAGGGTTTAAAAGCAGTCCAATAATTTTTGGAAATCAGCACTGGAACTAGAATCATGGAAACCACCCACTCAGACAGGGACTCTGTTACAATATGTGAATGACCTATTAATTGTCACAGAAACAAAGGAAGAATGTGTCCAGTGAATGGTGGGATTATTGAATTTTCTGGGGATTAATGGTTATCGGGTATCCAAACAAAAGGCCCAACTAATTCAAACCCAAGTTTCCTAGATAGGATATGAAATAACAGGAGGACAGAGAGAACTTGGAACCACTAGAAAAGAAGCTATTTGTCAAACTCCACAACTGTCGACCATCAGGGAGCTCTGGACGTTACTGGAGATGGCTGGATGATGCAGACTTTGGATGCATGATTATGGTGTTCTGGTAAGACCCCTATATGAAAAGGAAATACTGTTAAAAGGAAATACTCCCTCTTTGGAATGGGCTGATTCAGCAGAGAGGGGCTTTTAGAAATTTAAAAACAAAGCTAATGAGAGCTGCGGCTCTGTGACTTCAGGATGTGACTAAATCCTTTTAGATCTATTCCTATGAAGAACAGGGAATAGCTTTGGGGGTCCTTGCTCAGAAACTAGGACCCTATAAGAGGGCAGTGGTGTATTTTTCAAAACAGCTGGATGGAGGGAGCAAAGGATGGCTTGGATGCCTAAGGGCTGTGGCGACAGTTGTCAGGAATACTGAAGAGGCTCGCAAATTTACTTTGGGGCAGAAGATTACTGTACTAGTGTCCCATGTTGTATTAGCCATCCTGGAATAGAAAGTAGCCCACTGGTTATCTCCTTCTTGTTTTTTAAGATACCAGGCCACCCTTGTAGAACAAGATGATACAGAAATTGTGGTCACTAATGTTGTGGATACAGCATCCTTTTTGCAGGAACAACCAACAGAACTACTAACACACAACTGCTTGGCCACTGTATATTCGAGCCAACCAGATTTGAAAGAAACCTCTGGAACATGCTGAATGAGAATTGGCTAAAGACAAAAGGATAAATATTTGGACTGATTCTAAATATGCATTTGGTGTGGTCCATGCACATGGTGCCATCTGGAAAGAACAAGGACTTTTGAACACACAGGTGAAACAGATTAAACATGCTATAGAAATTCTACAACTACTGGAAGCTGTTCAGCTACCTGAGGAAGTAGCTATTATGTATTGTAGAGGGCATCATCAAGGTGACTCTAATCAGGAAACTGGAAATAATTTGGCCAATTTTGAAGCCAAACAAGCAGCTGAACAATCTGAAATGATGTCCTTAACCCCTGATGTCAAGCTAACAATTGAGAAATCTAAACCTAGATATTCAAAAGAAGATAGAAAGTTGATTGAAGATCTGAAAGGACAGGAAAACAAACAGGGTTGGGTTAAGGTACCTGATGGGTGAATTGCAACTCCCTATAACCAGCTCTGGAAATTAGTTCAGGAGGAACATAATAAAACTCATTGGGGTAACAACTCTTTGTCTAAATACTTAGACAGACAAATTGTAGGAAGGAATCTATATACCATAGTTCAATTAGTGACAATTCTCAAGAATAATCCTGAAATTGAAAGTAGAAATCAAACTGGGACAATTGGTAGAGGACGTTATCTGGGACAGCAGTGGCAAATAAATTTTTCTGAATTACCGAGAAAAGGAGGTTATCGATATTTGGTGATGTTAACGGATACTTTTTCAGGGTGGCCATAAGCATTCCCTTGTAGAATAAATAATGCAAGACAAGTAATTGGAACATGGCTAAACAGTATAATACCTTGTTTTGGAGTACCAGAGGCAATTTCTTCCGACTGAGGCTCACACTTTAGTGCAAAATTGTTACAAGAAATTAGCAAAAAATTAGAAATTGATTGGCAACTACATGTTCCGTACAGGCCTCAGGCCAGTGGGCAAGTAGAAAAGATGAACCATCTGGTCAAACAACAGATTAGTAAAATATGTCAGGAAACTAATTTATATTGGTACCAAGCCTTACCAATGGCTCTTAAGAATTCAAACCAAACCTTGATCGAAAGAAGAGGCTAGCCCATAGAAAATTTTATATGGAAGACCATATCAGTGCCAGTTTAAAGGAGAAAGTCTTCAGGAAGTGGGAGAAAGCTATCTCCGAGAGTTTCTGGTCAATCTGGGGAAACAATTAGAAGAAATAAATAAGAGAATATTAGGGACAAGAGCGAGAGGCATGGATTATCCCACTCACCCTTTCAGATCTGGAGACTGGGTTTTTGTTAAGAATTTTTCAGGAGATCCTCTACAGGAGAAGTGGAGCGGACCGTACCAGATAATATTGACCACCTCTACAGCAGTGAAGATAAAGGAACAACCTGCTTGGATACATCATTCAAGAATAAAGAAAGCACCAGAGCCAGAGAAGACATGGTGGATCGAACCTTCAGGACCCTTACATATGAAATTGCATCAGTCATAATTTGGATTTATACGATAACTGGTGTACAAGCTTGGGACCAAAATTTATGCCTGAAATTAATGCAGAATAAAGTTGTTAATCGTAGTGACTATTGGGTGTGTGCACAGTTGCCTAAATCAGGAGAAAATCCAGACCTTTCATTAATTGGCGTTCCAATTTCCAACACTATCTCATGCACAAATTTGAGGGTGAACACTAGCAATCTAAGTCTGAGGGAAAGGTTAAGATTTGGGATAGTTAATCCTAATCCAAGTAAAGAATATTATACCTGTGTACAAAGATGTATTACAGCAGGAGCCAGAGTATGAGATTATGATTGTTTAAATGCCACAGGTGTAGGTCACTATTCAAATTATAATTACACTATTAATGCAGATGGTATCATAGTTCATTGGTGGCCCATTCCTGAAGGGAAAGGATGGTATTGGTTATGTGGAGAAAATGTTTATAAGACTCTACCCCCCAGCTGGAAGGGGGCATGCACCTTAGGTACCGTGATGCCCAATCTTACTATTATTGACATGTATCCTTCTGGAACCTGGGTAAGAAGTTTTCCTAAATGGGTTAAGCGAGGGTTTAACTCTATTGCTGAACAGAACACCGCATTTCATAGTTTTGTAAGAGGGCTAATTCCATCTTTGGGAGTAGAGTGAATTAGAGAAGGCAATCGTAAATATCTCAGCAACCATAGAGGAAATAGAAAGTAAAACTATTGATAAAATCCAAGCAGAACAAAAAGAGATAACTAGCCTATCTAAAGTGGTATTACAAAACCAAATGGCTCTAGACATGTTATTGGCTTCACAAGGAGGGGTTTGTTCCATAATCAATGAAAGATGCTGTTCCTACATAGATCTGAGTGGCAGAATTGAGACAGATATGGAGGAAATTTGGAAACAACTAAGATATTTCATGAAATGGCCAAGGATGGTACCTCCTGGGTGTTTGAAGACATACGGAAAAAGTTAACTTCATGGTTACCTGATCTCTCCTGTCTGAAGCAACTGGTTGCAGGAATATTAATATTAATTGCTTTAATATTGATTACTTGTGGTATGATACAATGTTCCTTCTGGTATTGTAAACAATCTATGATAAATTATGAAGATTGGAAAAGAAATGAAAACAAGCGTCAAGTAGAAACAGGAAATTATTTCAAAAAGACTCTAGATGGTAATGGTAGTATATAAAATGTTGCAAAGGAATTTGCAAAATAACAGAAAAAGGGGGGATTTGAGACAAGGAGGCACAAAAGCATAGACTGAATCAGTTCTAAGTAACGTAAAGCTTGATGGCTTTGTAGTGAAAAAAACTGAGGTGCTTGAAGAGAAACCATTGCAGTTAACATAGTTTTAGGTCCTTACAACCTTAGTACAAAAAGTGTAAGAAAATAGAAAAACAGGACCTGGGGATGGGGAGTATCTGGGACCAGCAGAGGTCCAGGATAGGTGCAGTTAAACTAACTGATAAGTAGAAAGACAGGATGATTGCTATGTCCGTAATGTTAATGAAGCTGGTGCTTCAAAGGCTGCCAGAAGGGATGAAGATTGTTGGAAGAAGTAAACGACCCTCAGAGACCACCGCCACATTTGTGTACGCATGTGGGAAGCTTTCTGGAAAATGATGTAATTCATACGTAGCTTCATGAATATGAATGCATGCCCAGGGACTCTATAAGGACGGCTTGTGCAGCAATATGGTGATACACGTTAGGATGAGCTATCCCCCATGTCTCCCAGCACCGCAATAAAGAATACCTGCTTGTCAGCTTGAAAACTTTGTTGGTGAGTTTGTTCCAGGAGTTTTCTCCAAATCAGTGGTCCTTCACTTTCTTCAGTGAAAAAGTTCAAGCTTTTGCACATGTTCAGCTATGTCATTTTTTATCTGTGGATAAAAAATGATGTGGATTTAGATTTGATTGATTGATGTGGTTTGGTAAGGGCAAAGGTAGAGCTTCACTACAGGGCCATGAAGTGGACTAGGCAAGCCTACCTTAATATTTGCAGAGACTTGTAATGAGGTTGGGGTTCAAAATATTTTTGGAAGAGGCTGTGCCTATTGAGAGTTGTAGTTGCACCCTTTCCAGCTCCATATTCCTCCTCCCCTTCTTCCCACTCCAGTTCCCTTTTATTATCACTCCTACGCTCCCCAGTTCTACTTTATGACCACAGTTGTCCCTACTACTCCAGCCCCTGAACTGCGAGGATAAAGCTTAGCTCTTTTTAGTCTGGAACCCTACAGAAACACTTTATCTTGTTGCTGTGTGTTCAGACTGTTTGACATGACTACATTTGTCATGTAGATGTGACCTAAAACTATGTTCCAGTTGCACCAAGTAAGCAACAAAGTTATCACCTGTTTAAACAAACATTTGGCTCTTAATCAAGAATTCAACAAGAAAATTGAATAGAACAAAATATGTTTGATTATTTACTAAAGACATAATGGGCTGGAGACTGAAAACAAAGAGTGGGACTGAAAGCCAGATGGCAACCAGTATAACCTAGACAGCCTACTCATCAAGTCTTTAGGGTACAGAAAACTCCTACCGTGGATATTTTAAGAACTAGAGACATCTACATGTGCTACTTTTCCAGTTATTTATTCCCAATAAATGCCAAAACTGTGACTTTAAAAATATCATAGATTAATGTCCAATGTCAGGAACTGTTTGTGTATTTCGTAACACTTGCAAGTGAGTGACTCCAGAACACCAGTGAGAGGGCAGGAGTGGGAATGGGGTCTCACACCACACCTGTGCAGAAGCCCCCATCAAGAGATTTGTCATCTGTGTTATCAAAAAGTCTATAGAAAGCTAGTAAGTATGAGAGCACATAGCATGGATTTAGCTGGTACTGTGTGCCATAGTTGAATTATAGTGTATTATAGTGCCAGGGATCATAAAGGGAACATTTTAGATGGGGCAATCAGCTAATTACTGACACAAGAACAAACAGTGAATATAGAAGGTGCCACTGGCCCCAGGCAGAGTTATAAGTTGCAGCAGCTTTCACATAGTTTGCATACCTCACAGCTGACTAGTCACAAACTGAGGTAGAGGAGTCCTGAGTACCAGGGATAGCTTGGACTATCAGGGTAATTGTACACAAAAATGTAACCCTAGGAATGAGAAACAGGGCTAGATGAGGACAGTCATCATCTTGAGCTTTGGCAAGGAGGACAACAATGTTGCGACCCTCACTCCAGAGCATCATCTGCACAGTAGGTACTCCACGTGAGGGGGAGTAAGAAATCTTGTTAACTGCAGACAGCAAAGTTTCTTCTACATACCTGTTATCATGGTTTAAGCTGAACCCAGGACACCTGTGTCCTGCTGAACAGATCTTTGCTTTGGCTTATGTTTAGGTCTGGCTGATATTTGAAGTGGCAAGGGTAAGAACATGAATTTGGGTGAATGCAACAGCCGTAACAAGGCACTTTCTCTCGTTTCTTCTGTTGGAGCTGAAGGCCCTTCAAGTATTTCTGTGCAGTGGGACTCTTCGATGTTGAACGTTCCCTTAATAGGAATCCTCAAAAAAGGAAGGCAGAGTATGTGCTGCCATATGCCACCTGCTGGGAAAGGAGTTTGGGGAAGCAAAAATTAGCATCTACTCAAAAGGAGCAAACAGTAGAGAGAGGTGCTTCATGAGGAGTGTACAATGTTCTCTTGTGGAGCAGACTCCTCAGGAGGGCAGCTGACAGTTACTGAGGATATACCCTTGCTCCCTGTTACTCCAAACTATGAGGTGTCTCATTTCTTCTTGCTGCTTCTTCATTCACCCATCTTCTCACAAGAGAGGCAGTGCACCCTGATCACTCAGGATCAGACAAGAACCTAGGTAAGTGTTCTTCACAGAATCCCTAATGCAAGCTTAATTTTCTCTCATTTGTTCAGTGCTATTTATAGCCTTGGAAGGCTAAAAAGTGTGAGCAGATTTCTTCCCTCTCTAACATCTGATAATGAGTAGCTAGCTAGTTATATCTTTGGTGAGATCTACTGGCAGTGTTTCTACCCCCTCCCTTATCAGATTGTTGTTTTTTTTTCAGGTAGCATAATTTTTCTTATGTGCAACTCTCTGAAGTTTGATTTCATTATAGTTTTCTGTTCTCATTATCAAGTAGAAATAAGACAAGGACATTTTCCTTTTCAAGCAGCTTTTCCTTGAACAGTGTGTCCTCCCTGCCTATCTTTTCCTCCCACTCCATATTCTCCTTCCATTGCTTTTCAACCACATGTAAGGATATTTTTGTGACATGGATGAATACATGGATGAATTGTACTGTGCATCAGTTGTCAGGCATGTAAAGTTACAAAAGTCATCTCTTGATTATAATCCTCTGGATTCTGAATTCGATGGCCTTTCACTGCTGTGTAGCAAGTCCCTGCTCATTTACCCCACTGTTTAATAGAAGGGATAGAAAAAGTGTTACAAAATTCTGTGAAAGGCTTTGCCTTACAGAGTAGCACAGATGCTTTGCATAGCTCCATCTAAAAAGTAGCAACTGGTATCTCAGAGGAACATCATTCCCTTTGTGGGTGAGAGAACTGGCAAAACCTCTGACTGCTGTAAAGTTTTATAAAAACAAGTCTCTCAGGAAAAAGAACACGAAGCTTATTTACAATTCAATTCCAATGTTATCCCTGATTTGGGTTGGTTGTTTTGTTTTTTTTTTCTTTCGGTTTTACATCAGCTCCTGTGACACATGCCTGCAATTTTACAAAATGTTAAGCTATTTCTGTTTCTGGAGTAGAGAAATAAACAATCTTCTTGGACACCTAGGATTTGCTTGTGTAGAAGAGAAGCCTATTATAATGAACTGATAAATCAGCTGGACATACAATTCAAAACTGAAGTAAGAATAAAGCTTGCTTTACTAAGGTATGTTAGAGACCATCTGGAACGCTGATGTAAATCACGTTTTATTCAGCTCAGGGAAAAGATCTAAATAAGATCAGTATTTCTGAGTCTTCATTTCTTGGGTTATTCGAATTACAAGGCTTTTAAAGATTGTTTATATTACAGCTAATTCCATTTCCCCAGACTAGAGACAAAAATGTTATTTACTCTTGTATTTAGGCTTTCCTGGTAAAGAAATGGGAAATATTCAGCTGCCATGAGGTCCCATGTGATACTGATGGAAGGCCTTTCCTTGTAGCCCATGTTAATCAGGCCATTCAGGAAGACAGAGGGAAAGCTGGTGAAGAAGTGAAAGCTGGATCAGTGTAACAGCTCATAACCAGCATGTTTTCCTTTTCTAGGCATGCCAGGGACTGTCAGCACCTCAGCCAGGTAGGGATGTATCTGTCCCACTGAGGACAGATCTGCTTCTTTGAGGCTGAGAGCCCCTTGGGTCCAACTATGCTGTGAGAGCAGCAGGGTACCACCACCATGATTCACGGCACTTCACTGTGTCACATGGAAACCTGTGCTCACAAGACAGGAGAAAGAGCTAAGAAAGTGGCCCTGGGATTTCTCTTTTTACCAAATTTCCATTCATTTTTGTGTTTCCCCCTAACTCACGCGCGTTTTCTGCTACGCAGGGCAACCTGTGAGATTTCTCACATCAAGCCTAAAGTACTCTTTGCCCCCTACTGGCATCCTGTAAAAATACAAGAGCACATCAAGAAACAGCTCCACCACTTCAGCGATTTAAAATCACAGGACAGGAGAAGAAGGTACACAGAGACTACATGCAGTCAGTGGTGGAACAATGCTCTTGAGGTGGTGAGCAAACCTTCACGAAAGCTCAGTGAGCAGCTTCCTACAGCTCCTCTAGATACAACATCCTGGTTATTGCTAGAGGAGTTCGGGCACAGCAACCCCTTCCCCTCACTCTGTCCAGATGTTTGAAAGAGAAAAGTCACTTTTTAAAGTGATATCTGACTTCAGGTTATTTATGAAGAAGTCTAGGAAATGAGAACTAGCTCTGCAGTTGCTGTTCATAGTGTTTCTATACACTCTGTCTGGTTTCCAAGATCAGGGAACAGGAGCAAGCATGGTCAAAGAAAATTACTTGACTGGCTACCATGGATGTGGGAACAGGCTGGTAATCTTAGGCAGCACTTTTAATCCTGAGGAATCACACAGTGCTTGAACATAGTATAGGCTTGAAACGTTGCACTGAAAC